TATAATCTCAACTCCTTTAGGTTTATGTCAAAGAGCAACATTACTGGTTTGCATGTAAATAAGTTTAGTTTTTGTAAAAACTGATTTCTAAAGTTGTTGTAGTATTATACATCCCCACCCACAGTGAAAGAGAGATTCTGTTGCTCGATATCCTTGTAAGCATTTAGTATTGTGAATGACCTATATTTTGGCCATTCGATAGGTGTGTGGTGCCTTTTATTTTAAAGTTTCCTTTCCTTGTGGATTATGAGTGGATTATATTTTCACATGCTTGATATCTTCATACTTTTTTTTTTGTGTGTGAGGTGACTGTTAAAGTCTTTGCCCATTTTCAAACCAAGTTGTTTCTGTATTTTTGAATTTTAACAGTCCTTTAATAGATGTGTCTTTTGAAAATATTTCCTCCCAGTCTATGATTTGTCTATCTCAACCTTTGCACAACTGGGGTTTTTAATTTTAATTAAGTTTTGCTTATCAATTATTTCTTCTGTGGATCATTCATTTGGCACTGTATTTAAACAGAGGACTATTCCCAAAGTCATCTAGGTTTCTCTGATTTTTATCTCTCAGGAATTTTGTAGTTTGCATTTATGTTTGTGACTCATTTTGACTTAATTTCTCTGATGGGTTTAAGGTCTGCGTTTGCATTTATTTTATACAATGTGACTATACAGTTGTCTAGGTTCTGTTTTTGAGAAAAGGACCTTTGTTTCACTGTATTGTTTGCACCTTTGTCAAAAACCAGTTAACCATATTTATGAGGGTTTGCTTTTGGGATCTTTTATCCGGTCCATTGATCTACTTGTCTCTTCTTTTGCAAATAATGCACTATCTTGATGGTTGACTCAGTTATAGTAAGTCCTGAATTTGAGTAACATCAAATCTCCAACTCTATTCTTTCTTTCAATATTCTGTTGGCTATTCTGGTTTTTTGCCTTCCACATAAAATTTAGAATTAGTTTAATAGCATTCAAAAAATAATTTGCTGGAATTTTGATTGGGGCTGTATTGAAACTATAGGTCAAGTTGGGAGTAACTGATATCTTAACAATACTGAGTCTTCCTATTCATGAACACGAAATCCCTCCATTTATTAGTCCTCAGGCTAGTTAAAATTCACTGCTCATGCTTCAGGAGATTTGGTTTGAACTAATTTTGTCAGCCTGGTTACTAAGACTGTATTTTATGTCAGGTTCTCTAAACTGACTTGATCTTTCTTCACTTATTCTTCAGACCAATGATATAAATATAAGGCATTATACCTTATAGTCTCCATTTCACTCCTAGGCATTCTTTCGCTCATGATCTTAATATTTCATATTGTTCTCTAACCTAGGTTCCAAACCTGGCTGACTGATATCCATCCAGGAGCTTATTAAATATTCCTGGTAGTGAATTTGTAATACCGGTTTATAAATTCACTACCCCATTGTCCCCATTGGGGGAAATTGATAATTCTCTGCATTAGTACTTACAGCTTTATGAGAATCCCCATTTATCTCAACATAAAAAGTTTAATAAACAATATCTCCAATTGAGCCTAACATTCTTCTAGTGTTGCAAAATACTAAGGGCCTAGACATGTATATAATACCAGTTTCCTAAACTTATTTTTTCTTTCTTGCTTTGATTCTCCTTTCATAACAATTCAGTGGCTATCAAAGCTTTCACATCTTATCTCAATTTTAGGGTTTCAAAGCACTGTTTATTATTTTATAAATACTTCTGAGTATATCATAAAATTATCCCAAAGCTCCTACTGAAAGAAGACAAATTGTAAATTGTTGATATGGTATGTCTCACAAGCTATTGCTTTACAGCCTTTAGGCAGAAACCAGAATACCTCTGCCTTATGTAATTTTGAGCCATCTATTCTAACCCCATCAAGCTCCTCAACAGAAAACCAATAAAGGAGACTCCTCAGCTGAGTGAAAGTTGTTGATAAATTAAGAGAAACAAAATAGGCACAGTCTCTAGAACACTGTAAGCCTCAGGCCTCACTGCCTCCTGTTTCAGGGAAGTTGGGTGGGGAATCTATGGGCTGGCCATGATGTGCATCATTGCTGTAAGGCCCGCTCCAAGTCAGACCTTCCTGAAATGTTTCTATATTCTGAGAAAAAACGGAGATTCTAGTGTATATTTCCTTTAGCGCTTTCAGGCTTCTGTGGGCTGAGCCAAAGTTTGGAAATGAACTGCTCCTTCTGAAATGTGCTGACAATGTGTCTTGATGTTCTCTCAAATCTCTAAGAGGCCTTCTGTTCACATGTATGTCACCTGGTAGTTTTGTGTAAGAAATAAAGGGAAAAGTCCATCATAATTAGGAAATTTAGGGGAGTAGCAGGTCCTTCGCTATAAGAAACTTTCCTTTGGAAAGTAGAAATTTGTCTCTGTGTCAGAATGTAAACATTGTTTTTGTGTTTCTTCTACAGACTTGACAAAATGTCTTTCTTCTCATCATGGATCAAAGTTATTTTCATTATTGCCTTGGCATTTCCTCTTTATTCTGGTGAGTACACTTCCAGTTCCGAATAAAGCAATTCACACATCTTAGAAAATGCAGGAGGCAACTGTTATTGTCTAGAAATGGAGCAGCTTCTTTCATTAGGTTTCTAATACTTAAATTGGCAAAATGAAAGTGAGTATGTTACAAATCCCCTTAAAAAAATGACTTCAGTAGATTGCTTTTTCTCATTTCCCACCTTAGGAGATGGAAGCAGAGAGTTGGCTTAGAATGAGCAGTAGAACTGAGCTTTTTTGCATTTATGACTAACGACTTTTATGACTAAAGACTTTTACCTAATTAATATTTTCTTTGGAGATCAGATTCAATGTTTGCTAAGTTCAGAGTGTAGGTAGAAATGAGGTCTCCTAGACCTGACATTCCTATACAATTTGATTTGTTATTTTCCAGTTTTCAGACCACTAAAGTAAAAACTTTCTGTGAGGTGAGAACTCCTTGACCCTCTCCTGGAAATTGCACTTCCTTTAGTTCAAGGAGACTGATGAATTTTTGTAAAATAGTTCTGAATCATCGAATAGATCCCTGATATTAGAATGAGTATTATTTCATTAGGAAATAAATAATTTCTTCATGTTAACTGACATATTAGGGGTATTAAACAAAGCACTGACATATTAGGGGTATTAAACAAAGCACTGACATATTAGGGGTATTAAACAAAGCACTGTCTTCTCTGACTTTGATATCTCATGAATTAAAACAAAAATAAAAAGAACTATGGTATCTTCACATCAGAGTTTGGTGATTGCTGTACAATACTTAAAATTCTTTTTCGCAGAGGAGAGTAGTTTGGAAGTCTATTTCCAATTTGAAGCTAATTTGTGAACTTACTGTTTTGTTACTATTGCAAAAGCCTCACCTTAATATTGGGGGCACTACGTAGGCAATTTTGTAGTATTTTGCTACTAAAAACTACAGGTTCTTCCCACCAGAGATTCTGATTGTTTCCCCCTCTTCTTCTTGTTTTTATATATTCTTTTTGTGCGCTGGTTGCAGAAACTGCTCTTGCACCTCCTCTTCCTCAAAAAACAAAAAACAAACAAACAAACAACAACAACAAAAAAAACACACCTGGTTCGCCCACCAGTAAGTTAACATTGATTAATTAGTAAATTGAAAAAGGATAAATCTTAAATTGTTTCATATTGTAAATTTTAACAACAAATTTTACCAAACATCTCGGCTGGTGTAGCTAGATGGTCAATCTTTGACCCATCATCCGAGAATTCCCTGGTTTATTTCCCAGTCAGGGAATATGCCTAGGTTGTGGGCTCAATCCCCAGAAGAGGGCATTTAGGAAGCAGTCTCTCTCTGTCTTTGATTTTTCAATTTCTCTAGTCTCTTTTCCTCACTTTGCCCTTCTAAATAAGCTAATGTGAAAACCAAACATAATTCAGAATCCCTAAATCTGAGGACCTTAGAATTGGAAGTGATTGGAAGAACCCGCCCCCCCCCCTTTTTTTTTACTTTTCTTCCCAAGACTGAAATTTGAATTCTATAGAATTCGATAATATTTATCCTGCACTTATATTAGAATAAGCTCTGTCATCCAGAGCTACAAACCTATCACCCTTCGCCATTTAATGCCCTTCAGATGAATGCAATGTCAATCCTAAGTCTATGTTTATTCACGCTTATATTTCTTACTGCCATCAACAAACTTTATGCTCTCTGGTCTCCAAACCTCACTTTACAAGGTAATTTTATTTTGAACATGCTTCAATTAATTCACATTTTTCTTATAGGGGGCAGCCATTCTTAAACACATTATTTTAGGGCTTTATGATATTAAGTTTATGACTTAGTATCCCAAAGTGATTTTCACATGAGCTTCTGTTTGGCATAATATCTTGAGGCAAGAAGGCCCAGAATGTAATGTTATTCTCAAACATGAGTTCTATTGTCTCCTGTTACCTCATAAAACTAAATTACCCATCATTAGTTTCCACTGGGTGTATTCATCCCTTACTAATTGCAAATACTTAATGTGGCTTTACTTGCTTTTAAAATACAATTTGAGGTAAATAATTGGTACCTAACTTACTTGCAAAAAAAGGAATGTCTAGTGTAGACATATAAAGTTATAGGGTCAATAAAACTACTGACTAATGATAAGTCCTCTCTTAACAATAAAAAAAGTGAACACTGAGTTTCCCAGATGGCTTTTTCCATTTTTATTTCATTTTTTTTCTGTGAGAAAAATGTCTTATAGAAGCCTATTAAAGTTTGGATATTTATGGGAGTTGAGGTGTGAAGCTAATTTTAAAAATGACCATCATCAAGAAGTAACACCTTACAGTATACCAAAGTTACTCAGTAATTTTATTACCTCACAATGACCATGTTTAGCAATGAGGGTGGGGGAGTTTTCAAATATATAACATGGTGGTGATCAACATGCTTTATTCAGAAAGCTTCTACTGAAGAGTTACCCTTAGCTCCTTCCAATCCAACTGAGTCTGAAACAACTGGCTGTAACATGAAGGCTTTTCTTTTCCTTCCCTTCATGTTCTTGGCCATGTTCTCAGGTAAGGAAAGTTGCATACAATGACTTTTCTTCCAAATCTCAAAGTAAAAAGTTAGAAATGTTCAATGATTTAATAATACGTTGTCAGAAAATCTTAAAAAGTGGGAGCATCTATCAGACATAGAAATGGACTAAGGTAATTTCAGAAAACATATAGATCAGGGTTATAAAAATAGTGATGGGGTGAGACAACAGTGGATAGTTTGATGTGGCTAAAGAGAAACAGAAGCAAGGAAATGAGAAAAGTAAGATATCAGACTAAAAAGAAAAAATTAGTCTAAGAGGATTAGGTGAATTTGTGAATGCTCAAATGTATGTTCCACAAAGAATATGGTTTTGTGTAATGATGCAGGCCTAGATGGTCAAATAGAAAAGGGCTCAAATCCTGGCTTTTCCCTTTTCTACTTTTGTTCTTCAGAGTAATTTACTTAACCTATTTTGGCCTCAGTTTTCTCATTTGCAGAATGAAAATAATTAGACATTCCAACAGGCTGTTGATAGGAATCATGTGTACACTAGCATTAGACACCATTACTTGCATTTTTCTTAGGTGCCTATCACTCAACATACTTCTCTCTATTCCTTACCTCAATACCATTAGGTTGTCTGTTTTCAGAGATGTAAATTTCAAGCAAGCAATGAAAATTTCTCAAGATGAAAAATGACATAGATAACATATTTCTCAAGAAAATAAATTAGGATAAATTAAATGTATTTCAATTTATCTCCAAATTATGACCTTCTACTTGATCATTTTTTTCTAATAGCTAGTGAAAGGAAATAAATGAAAGTAAAGTGCCTATATGATTTTCATTAGCTTATTGTTGTGACACAAGAAATCATGGTTCTCTTCTCATTTTAAGCATTGCAGTTATTTTCAGATTGTTGATAACAGGGGTGATCAGACCCATTCTGTTAAGAGATATCTGTCTGTAATAATATTGAAAATAAATTGGATGTGTGAAAAATTGTCCAGAGATGTCATTTAGCAAACTGTCAAAGTAACAGAGTTAAGAAATAAGAATATAGAACTAAGTGATAAGATGGGATAAAGGAGGAGGAAATGTCTATGTATGTGTATGTGTGTGTGTGTTTCTCAGGGGACAAAAACATACAGATAAAAATTTCTTACTAAATATGATGGCAGGTACCATATTTCTTGTGTATTTCAGTGTCTTGCTAGATAACATTTAGTATATATTCAGCAAGGATTTGTGGCTGGAAGAAAGTACCTTATAGTAATACCATATGTAATGGTTATATGGTTTTGAAGGATAAAGAAGAGTGAGGAATCAGGAATGCCTATTACAATATATAGCAATACCAAGCATGAATTTAGAGTTTGTAAAATCAGAAGAGAAAAACATGGAACAAAAACTAAAGATAATTATTTTACACAATTTAAACTTAAAAATGAGTGGTTAAACCATATTTTAATACCTTAGTTATCTTTTTTTACTAAAATATTTCACCATTGATTTTTAACTATAAATTTATGTAAAAATTTTATATATTACTAGAAATGTCATTAAATCATGGTTTGTAATAGTTAAAGAAGAAAATAAACTAAGGACTCATTGCTAAAAGACTGGTTAAGTAATTTATTATAAACTTAAATGAGGTCATATGCAGCCACTGGGACAATAATTAAGGTGATCTCTCTATATTTGTATAGAGGTATCCTAACTGCATATTTCAAGGGATAAAATGAGTACAGTAGTGTGTACAATGTGCCACCAATTATGTTGAAAAATATATTCAAATATGTTTGTAAATACAGAGATATCTGTAATAATACAGAAAACCCTGGTAGGTATGTTTGTGTTCTATGTAGAGAATTGGAGGTATTAGGACAGAAGATAAAGGGAAAGTTACTTTAAACTATTTACCATTTTATATCATTATGATTTGATGCAATTTGCTTACTAGTATATGGCCTTGGATTATTTAAAAAAGCCAAACAATCTACAACAACTAAAAATAGATCAATCTTTTTTTTCCCATTTTATCTACATTTTTATTCTATTTGATTTCTACTTGAAGTTAGTGCCTGCTAATAAACAATATTTGGCTCTTAAAACTCAGGTATACACTCATTGCTCTGCTAGAAATAATTCTTTTGTTATCAGTTTTTCTTGCTATATAACCCATATTTCTTATATGTCACCTCCTCCAGGAGGAGAAATAATTTTAAAAAAATACAAAGGAAGCTCATTAAGAAAAATAAAAAGTGAACCTTAATAAAACTTTTGTGGAAACCCCAAATTAAGAAAGTGGGGAATAAAGACAGTCATCAAATAGAAAAGCGAGAAAGCAAAAAATAAACCCTTTTACCAAATTGAGTATAAGAAAAGCATAAGACCTAATGGAATACCATTGTACTTAACAGCTCTAAAGTCATTGCATTTGCTTATATATTGTGTTCTAACCTCTATTCATTTTAGAATAGAATCTGAATAATTGTAATATATATATATATATATATATATGTATTATAGCTAGTACAATAAATCTATCTATCTACTTATCACATACATACAGATTGGATGAGCTTCCAAAATAAATTTGTGAAGCAAGTAAATAAGATAGAGTGAGTAAATTCTGAATCATAGGTTTTATAAATAGTCAGATAATACCTACTATTTTCTCTAGTGGTTTGACCACAAGAGAAAGAAACAACCACCAGAGAGAGTGTGAGTAATTGATTAATACTAAAGATTTTATGGGAAATTGTGACCATAAAGCTGATTGAAAAAAAAATGTTCTCAGTAAGGAAAACCACTGCCTTTGGAATGGGGTTAGTGGGAGAGAACATATCTACAGCAAACAAATATAGAGATAGAGAAGAGGATATGAAAGCAGGACTCATGCCTGACAGCTTTTACATCTGAGTAGTTGATGACATTTTTATAAAATAATGTTGGGAATATAAGAAAGGGTTCTGTGATGTGGAACAAGTTTACACAAGGCATTGGTCAGTCTTTTTGTCTTTTTAATTAATCAGGGAATCATTAAAAGGAATTTGTGGTAGTATTAAGGCCCAGTGCAAATAACTCAAGCTCTGATTTAGAAATGAGGCAAGCTCTCTTGAACCCATGCTTTTGAGACACCATGTAATATAGTGAAGAAAGAGATGGAGGACACAAAATATTCTAAGATATCCAAAGTAATGGGGAGAAGATTCTGTCTTGAGGTTTGGTTAAAAAAATCCTAGATGCATTGAATACATACTATATCTTGGAATGAATGATGTTGATTTTAAATTCTTGAGATTAAGTAACTTTATTTTTATTTTTGTGACCCTCCCCCTTTTTCTTAATCTCCAGTGTCTTCAACACAGACTTCGAAAACACATGTTATTAAACTAGAGGAGGGCCAAGAAGCTGCTGAAAAACCAGAGGATTATGACCAACTGGGGGAATATAATCAGGAAGGGAAAATAAACAATTTAAATCAGGCTCTGAGTGCGCAAGGAAGTTCAGGAGAACCTAACCAAAACGCTGGTTCAGAAATGTCTAGCGAGCACGAAAAACCAGGATCATATCTCCAGCAAAGGAAGCCAGGGTCTTTTGGCAAGCAAGGGGTTTCAGGATCATCTAGCCAGCAGGGGAATCTAGGATCATCCAGCCAGCACGGGAATCTAAGATCATCTGGCCAGCAGGGGAATCTAGGATCATCCAGCCAGCACGGGAATCTAAGATCATCTGGCCAGCACGGGAGTCTAGGATCATCTAGCCAGCACGGGAATCTAGGATTATCTAGCCAACCAGGAAAACCAGGATCATCCAGCCAGCATGGGAATCTAGGATTATCTAGCCAGCACGGGAATCTAGGATTATCTAGCCAGCACGGGAATCTAGGATCATCTAGCCAACCAGGAAAACCAGGATCATCCAGCCAGCACGGGAATCTAGGATCATCTAGCCAACACGGGAATCTTGGATCTTCCAGCCAGCATGGGAATCTAGGATTATCTAGCCAGCATGGGAAGCCAGAATCATCTGGCCAACAAGAAAATCCGTCTTTTTACACTCAAGACGGAATAAAAAATTTAGGTAAATAATTGGATGGCCATATAGAGAGTCAGGTAAGTGTTAATTTCTTTTTTTTTTCTTGTTTAGTCAACTTGTCTCAGCAATTCTATTTTCCAAGTTTTGAAAATTGTTAACAGAATACACTTTACTAAAGACATACACTTTGCAATGACAGTGATTCAAAAAAAGAAGGGAGGATTTGGAGGTGGTTATTTTTATATACATCTATGATCATTAGTATCATGGTTTTACATCCATTCCTTATTTCCTACTGCTCTTTTTCACTCAGACATTCCTATCTATACTGGACTAGCTCAAACCCTCATTAATTGAGCCCCGTTTCCACCCGATTTAACTTTCATGCTCATTTTCATCCCATCCATAATCTATACCCCACTCAGGTGGCATTTCTAAATCACAAATCTGATTTGATGAAAGTTTTTCAGTGGTGCCACAAGATAAAATCCAAACCTGTGAGCAATGCATTAAAGAGTTTTCAACATTGAACCCCATTGACATTATCAAACATCTCCTGCCACTCTTTCTCACTTATTATACTAGAGGCACAGTGCATGAAATTAGTGCATGGGTAGGATCCCTATTTGCTTCCGGCTGCTGTCTGCCAGCCAGGGCTTCTTCCTGGCTGCTGGTTGCCAGTCTGGGCCTTCCTTCATTCTGTGCTGTCCCCTAATGGTCAGTGCATGTCATAGTGAGTGATCAAACTCCCAGTTGGTCAAACTCCCTAGTAGATACTTTGCATATTAGGCTTTTATATACATAGATTGTACAAAATCTTTTGATTTTCTACAAATGTATTCCTAATACTAATGATATCCTTTATTATGGTGTGTACCTTATTGCTTTGTACAATATTGCAATGGATTGTCTCTCTATTCAGTTAGCATGCACTTCATAAAGAAAGTACTATTTTTCCCAAACCTGTATCCCCAAATCTCAGAATAACATAGGCATAGACTGGGTTCTCTTAAACTATTTGTCAGATAAGTAGACAGATGCCTGATGTCTGGGAGCCATTGTGCAAACACATGCATATCCATGACAGCTGTACTGTCTTCTGAGTCCTCTTGTGCTTGCCAGTTTCTCTCCCAACTACCAGCCTCTTGATTCAATTTAATAGTGACTCTGTACACTTCACTTAATACATCCAAAAGGATTTTCTAGAACACTACTTTCATCTCATTTTATTAATGAAACTTCATTTTTTAAATCTCATAACTGGTCATTCCTCAACTCCCTTTAAAATGAAATCTGACTCTCAGTATTTATGAGTTGGCTGGCATGAAGTATTATAGTAATCTCCTGTTACCATATGTTAGGACCTCTTCCCTCTGGCTACCATCAACTGCTGTTTCGTAAAGGAGTTTCAGTTTTATATTTCACATATGAGTGAAATCACATGGTTCTTAGGTTTTTCTGTCTGACTTATTTCACTTAGCATGATATTCTCAAGGTCCATCCAGGTTGATGTTGTTGCAGTATTTATTCAATTGTGTGTATGTACCACATCTTCTATATCCAGTCCTCTACCATGGTACCCTGGCTGTTTCCATATCTTGGCCACTAATAATAATGTTTCAATGCACACAGAGGTGCATATATCTTGTAAATACATGATTTGGGGGCTTTTGGGTAAACACTCGGGAGAGGGATTGCTGGTCCCCATGTGATTTTTATTTTTAAATATATTTTTATTGATTTCAGAGAGGAAGAGAGAGGGAGAGAGAGATAGAAACATCAATGATGAGAGAGAATCATTGATTGGCTGCCTCCTGCAGGCCCCTACCAGGGATCAAGCCCCCAAGCCCAACATGTTCCTTTGACCGGAATCAAATCTGGGACCGTTCAGTCCGCAGGCCAATGCTCTATCCACTGAACCAAACCATCTAGGGCCTATGTAATTTTTAAATCACATTTTCTGTGTACAGTGGTGCCACAATTACTTGGTCCTTGATTACTCTCATTATCTTTTTTCAGGTTGAGTGGTAGAAACCTGAATCTGTGCAACTGAGTCTAGCAAGAGTCCTCCAGATATAATGGATCCTACATTATTTTCAAGTTTGTTCCACTGCAAATAAAGTTAGTTCCAAAGTTGCTTCTGACTTCTTGGATTGTTTATTTTCTAGACTTCCCCAAACCTGTGTCTATCATTTATCTGTTCCCAAAGTGCCAAAGTGACTGATACTTCAAGACCTATCACTGCAATTTGTACACCCTAATAGATATTTTAAAAATATCAGAATTGCATGTAAAAAAAAAAAGAACCCCACTTTAGAAATACTTATGCTGTAGGTTGCTGGTAACACACTACAGTTTTTTAATTCACAGTCTAGGTGTTTCTTATGAAGGTAGTCTTTGGAAACTTGATATCAAATTGATTTAAGATGTTTTTAAGGATGCATTGATTTGCTTCAGAAGGTCTTGGGAATATATGCAAAACAAATTCTCTGTGTTCTTTTTTCTTAAGGGTCTCCAAAAGGCCCATTAGATTCTTAAAGGGATACATGAGTGCATATATACTTTGAAATGATTACAGATATTGAAATGTAGAAATTTACTGTATTTATCCAAATTACTAATAGGATTGTTAAAGTCTAAAACGCAGATGATCAGAAGGATCTCACTAGGATATTAATCATGTGGATTAGCAACCTAGGTCTCAAGAAAAGGAAAAAGACACAATACGATGGTGGGATCAGAGCTGGTTGAAAAAAAAAAAAGTGAGTTACTAAAAATGACATCAGAGAGATTGAACAGAGGCTACTATTTTGCCATTCCCTCTCACAATCTGGGACTGCTAACCACTGACTTGCCTGCTTGATTGCCCCTAACCACTCTGCCTGCCAGCCTGATAGCCCCCTAATCACTCCCCTGCTGGCCTAATTGATGCCTAACTGCTCCCCTGCCAGCATGACCATCCCCAACTCTTCTCCCCTGCTGGCATGATTGCCTCCAACTGCCTTCCCCTGCCAGCCTTATCAAGCCCAACTGCCTTCCCCTGCAGGGCTGAGGAACTGTGAGGCTGAGGGAACTGGAGGACTGTGGCTGGATGAGGTGGGAGTACGGGGACTGAGTCCTGCCATCTTGTGGCTGTGGGTGCCAGCATCTTGTGAGGGCATGACAATCAATTAGCATATTCCCTTTTTATTAGATAGGATTGTCTCTTGCAGAGACATTGTGCTATCTTCCTAAATTGTTTGGACATCTTTACTTTTGTTGTTAATGCTCAACTGAGGATATTTTTCTATTTATTATTTTTAGAGAAAGTGGGAGGAAAGGAGTTAAAGAGAGGAGAGAGAGAGAGAGAAAGAGAGAGAGAGCAAGCGAAAAGAGAGAGAGTGACAGAAACAGGGCTGGGGATTGAACCTGTAATCCCAGGTATGTATCCTCATCCTGGAATTGAACCTGAGTCCCTTTGGTGTCAGGACATAGTCTCTAACCACTGAGTGACATAGGTCAGGCAGGTATCTGTACTTTTAATCTTTTTAATCCATTCTTCCTAGAGCAGCAGAGTGATCTGTTTGAAATGTAAATTATATAATGTCAATACTGCCTTTTCTGATTATAACTCTGAGTCCCTATATATTTGGGACCTAAAAAAAATTCAGTATACTAAATTATTTCTTGTACTAAACTCCTCCTTTTAAGCTTTAATTTAGGCATATTGGCCTTTTCCAATTTTGGTAATATCAATAATTCCTCTAAACAATTATTCATACATTTCATTCTCTTAGAAACTCAACACACCAGCCCCCCCCCCCCACTGCCTTTTGTCTTATCACTTTAAGTATACTTTATTCAGAAACAACTTCCTAACCACATCCACTGTCTCCCTTGATATATAATATCACCTTCTAAATACACAATATATTTTTCTTCATAACATAGATCACTTATAAGTGCATGTATTATTGATTGAGATCTGCCTCTCCTACTCCATATAAGCCAAAAGCTTATTTTATTGCTTTTTAGACATCTTTGTTGTGATATTTACATATCAAAACCAACAATTTTAGGTAAAATGTAATGACTTAAATATACAGGATACAGTATAATCACAACAATTCAACTTTAAAACATTTTGATCATTTAGTAAAGGTTCCTCTTTTCAGCTTTCGGTTGTCCTCCCCTTCCCACTTCCAAATCTCAGCATCAGGCAACCAACCACCAATCTCCATTTTATATTTATTGATTTGGCTTTTCTGGACAGCTTATATAAATATGAAAAGAAAATCAAAACAAAACAGTATCACTTTAAAATAAAGAGGATGTACCCGCCAGTTGACCAGCTGCCCATTGACCTTTGACCTTTAGGTGGACGTGGGCAGTTGAAGGCCCTTTCCCTCCCCCCCCCCGCCCCTGGAAAGTGATTCCGCCGTCCATTGGTTCCGGCTTCCGACAGCCGGACCCATTTCGCTGGCGCAGCCCTGAGAGAGCAAGGCGTCGAGTGGCAGGAGCCCCACGTGCGGACAGGTCAGGTGGGGCCCGGCCCCCTGGGGTGCCGGCGGTCTGGACGGAGCTCTCCTCAGATGGCTTGCGGGACCCAGGGCAAGCCCCCCCAAATAAGTGCCTTTGCTTATTCCACCGTCACCGCCCGCACGGGGCCCCTTGCCCCTCGGTGGGCCCTCGTGGCCCTCGGGGCACGGAGGCCAGTTTTGAGTTTCAGCCGCGGACCTGAGCGGGTTGCACACCAGCCCTTGGCTGCCCAGCTAGGAGACCAGAGGAACGGGGCCTGGGAAAGAAGCATCTGAAGGGGAAATCCCAAATTGGCCGTGGAGAGCTAATGTGGGGAGGGGAAGGGTCATTTGTGTGTTGTGTGTCAGTTGCTGGTGGTCGCCCTGGGAGTACCCGCCATCCCCTTCCCCCGCACCAAATGTAGGCCTCTTTATGTCGTTTTTTTTTTTTTTTTTTTTTTTTTTTTTTTTTTTTTTTTTTTTTTTTAAATGCTGCCTGGCACACTGTGGCAAAGAAGCGAAAAGAAGGGCTGCTGCGGCGGGCTGACCTCCACTGG